TTTTCTTTTTTCTGAGACAGGTTTTGCTATGTAGCCCAGACTGGCTTAGAACTCACAATCCCTGTGCCTCAGCATCCCAAGTGCTAGAATTACAGGCATGCACCACTACACCTAACTTGTAATAGCTTTTCTTAGCTCAGTTGCATTTAAGTGCCTGAAGAGCTAAAACAGACACATAGTAAGTAACAGGTTAAATTGGGTTGTAACTACAAATTCTTAGGATGATACTTTGTGGTGCTGATTCAAAGATATGTATTTCAAATACATATTCCTGGCTCCACTGACAGAACATTTCCCCTATAACCCTTCCAGCATCGAAGAGAATTAACACAAAATTATTTATTAATTAAAAAATTGCTTACTAGTTCAGTTTCATTTTCAGGACTGGTTCTAAAAGAGGAACTGGTTGTTAGATGGGATAAGTTGTTAAGATGGGATGAACTACTAAGGTAAGTTAAATTTCCTTCTGAGGAGTCTGGTGTTGGTCCTTCAGGCACGAGCCTACCATTGATTTCTTGGTATTTCATGCCATTAATTGAACATTCCCGAAACTGCATCTCATTTTCTGTAAGTGTTCCAGTTTTATCTGTAAACACATATTCCACCTAGAGAGAAAGAAAACAAATCTTTTGTGTTATGGTCTTATGTTGAACAACAAAACCTAGTTCTCTCCTCTTGAAGTCTAGTTGACCTAATAATATTAAGATACCAACACTGAGATTCTTATAATCCAAAAATAATATAGATACCAAGGAAACAAAGCAAGGTAACATAAAACATTTTAAATCTACGTACACTTTGAAGTTTATAGCATCTTTAGATACATTTTCATTTGTACAGGTGACTGAGACTGTAGTGAAAGAACTTCATTTCTATCTCTTGATTAAGCTTTTTGTTTGTTTTTTTAAATAGTAGGATTCAAGAATTATCATGAAAGCAGAGGAGGAAGGGATGCTTAAATATCTGGGCCGGGAGAAATAGTACAGAGCAGGGAATACAAACACAAAATGAGAGCAACACAAGAAGTTACAGGCGAGAGTTGTCCACAATAGACAAAGGGGATTGAAACTTGAGGCAGGAAACAAATATCGTGAAAAATAATTATTTAAAAGAAAAGAAGTTATTTTAAAAGGCAGGTAAAACTAGTTATTTTATTACTCTTGGAGACAAATTCCAGAAAATTAACCCTAAAACAAAGTAGGTCCATATAGAGAAAGATATAATAGTGAAGTCTTGATAGAACCAGGATTATGAAGATGATTTGATCAATACAGTGGTGACTGAAGTCATTAAAATGGGAGGGAGCCACCACTGGAAAAACAACAACAAACCAGACCAATATCATTCATTTATATATATATCTCATATCCAGAAACTATGAAATAAGATTTTATACCACGAGTATATGGGATTTATCTCAGGAATGCAAGATTGATTCAACATTTAAAAAAAACCTGAAATCTACCATATTAATTAAATACTTTTATTTTATTAAGAAAACAAAAATTTCAACAGTGAGAAATGTACTTTAAAGTCTGTATTGTTGGGAATAGTAAATTTAACACGTGCGACATAGAAATAATAATACAGCTGGAGCCAGTGGCATGTGCCTATGGTCACGGCTACTGGGAAGATGAGGAAGAAGGATCATTTGATTCCAGGAGTTCTAGATTGGACAGCAAAGCAAAGGCCATCTCAAAAAAAACAAAACAAACCATAAACAAAACCAATCAGAAAAAAAAAATTAAAGCAGAGAGCAGGAGAGAGAGAGAAAAACAGAAAGAAAATCCTGAATTAACTGGTATGACTGAATACATACAGAGATGCTGCTGCATTATTTGCTGAAGCCTTGATTGTGGGCTATAGAAATCGAGCAAATGAGAAAACAGAGCAATTAACTCTAGGGAAAACAAGATACTTAAAAAGGAAATATAATAATATTACAAGGAACACATAAAGAATTGGGAGTATTTGACAGTATTGAAATTCATAATGTAAATAAGTATTTATTAAATGCCAAATTGTGATATAAAAATTCTAAGGGTTTCAGAGAGACAACATAGGTATGTATGTGGGAGGAGTAGTGTTCAGTTATGCCTCTATATTTCATAGTAGAGAATGTCTAAAATTTTTAAATTGAGAAAGAATACCATGTAGAAATATATTGATAAATAGTGGAAGAAAGAGCTTAAGATTTAAAAATGAGAATACAAATTAGGAGTAGAGCCAAGTAGGGTAGCTGCTCTTGGTATAAGCTTTGTAATATTTTGTTAGCCTCTGCACATATAATGATTAAAAAAAATTAGAAAAAGAAAATATTAGGATGATTTTCACCTGTCCAAGCTCTTCATTCAGATCAGAAGTATTGACTTGAGCTTTTTGACCTGATTCTTCATGATAGAGATCAAGATCCCAGCCAATAAAAAATGATCCAAGAAATTTCTGCATTTCAACTGTCACATATAATGAAATTGGAATGATAAAATTGTAGAGTACCAAAAAAGCAAGGAAATCAGAAATAAATCTCAGAATCTAGAAAAAAAGAAATGAATATTTGTTAAGAGAAAATTCATGAGAATTTCTTCAATATTACTGAAGAAAACTATCAGAAAGTTTTACATCTAAACAGATCCTTAGCTATATTCTGAGATAAGACTATTATCAATTGAATTCTTTATTGAATTCTTTTTTAACATGTTTCCTGTTTATTTAGAATCTTGAGCAAAGTAAAGGAAGAAAAGGTTAAATTCAAATAATTTAATTTATTACTCTTCAGAAGCTAAAGTCACCCTGTATTGACTAAAACCACCTTAGGCAAAATTATAATTACACCTCTGGAGTACATGTAACCATTGTGTTACTACTTTTTAAAACCACGGATAACTAAACATTAAGTGTAACTTAAAAACAGTCTAGCATAACTGCTAGGGTAGAATTGTTAGAAATTGAAACCCTGAAGTACAGATTCTTTAGGAATAGCTTCCCTCAATAGTACAGTAATATACATTGCGAGAGATAAAGTACCTATGACATTGAAAACAGGACTCTGAATTTATCTGCTTGGTGGGCTCTTGAGATCCAAATATATCTTCCAATATGTATATTTTAATCTAAATTAGAATTTGGAGAACATTATTTACCAAAACTTTAGGTTAATTCTATTAGTAGTCCACATTTAATCAGTTTAAAACTTTATGTGACATAATTTGTGAATTACTTCATACTATCAAGAGTGGCAATGAAGACCTCTTCAATTATTAAGTAAAAATTGAAGATAAATTATTCTTTAATTCATTTATAAGATTTAGTAAATGGAATAGAAAACTGAATTGTACAATTGCAGTGGAATGCAAATATAGTTGGATATACATTTTTGTGGTCTCTTTGAACTCTTCTTGACTATTCATGTCACATGTAGAGAATACAATTGCTTACCCCTGAAAAACATACCAATATAAACACACTGATTGCTTTTCATTTGCAGTGTCATTTTGTCAGAACCAGTGGTTTTATGAGATCACAGTGGTCCTTCCTACCAAAAATTAACTGTGTTAGAAACCTGTTTCATTTATAGCAAAGTTATGAGTACTGAAAGATACCTTACTACTATTTCTTTGATGTTCTGTTTTTTGGTTATACCAAGGTTCATCCCATTTTTCTTCAGCCTGCCATGTATACTTCAAGATAGTACTGATGATGGCTTCAGAAATAAGGATTATTAGATAAATTATTAAAAATGTATTCATTGATCTAAAGTAAGAAAAAGAAAATATAAAACATCAATATATTATATTGATTTGCTTAGAAATTAATACTTGTATGAAGAAGATATTAAGATATCTGAGGTATTATAGCTATTTTATTTTTCTTTTTTGGTGGCACTGAGGTTTGAACTCAGGGCTTCAAGCTTGTTGGGTAACTGCTCTTACCACTTCAGCCACTCTGCCAGCTCTTATTGTAGCTATTTTAAAGGACACAATCTTTACTTTCAAGAAATGACCATTCAATAGATTCTCCTTACCAGCAATAAAAGAACAAATATATTCAGATGTTAAAGTGGGTAATGGTTTTGGCCACTTATTTTTACTATAAGTAATTATTCCAAGACTTTTTAAATTCTCAGAACTCATTTAATTACAAATGTAGCAAATGAAATGAACATTTGTATGGCATTAACTTATCTTAACTAATCTTAATAAAACTATCTTAACTAATCTTTATAAAATAAAAAAACCTGTGAAGAGACTGTTAGTCTTTTCTTAGTGATAAAGACAAAAATCCAAAAATAATCCTATTATTTTTCCAAATCACTAGTCAGGAATTCAGAATACCTCTTCTCTTCATCAGGCAAGCTTCATATGGCATGTCTGATTTTAAATTTCAAAACACAGATTTTTGATACAATTAAAGAAATGGTTCAAAGTATTTACAAAGTAAAAAGAACTGCATAACGAACCTCTATGCATCTAGCACATGTGGAGGGAAAATGCAGGCCACAGGCTTTGGAAAAACTCTTAAAGACAGAAAATGCATGTATTTTTGATTCCCCCCCTAGGCCTTCCATAATTTAGCCTTATCTTAACTGTGCAAGTGTTTAATATTCTACTACCTTACAAATAAACTCTATACTAAAATGAAAGTAAGTGGGAGTAAAGGCACAAGAAGGAAACCTTTTTTCATGGTACTCAGGATTGAACCCAGGGCATCCTGCTTACTAGACAAGTGCTCTGACACTTGAGTGTCTCCCCTGTCCTTTTGTTCTTATTTTTTGAGATAGGATCTTACTAACTTTGCCCAGCTGGTCTCCAACTTACAAATCCTCCTGCCTCTAGCTCCTGGGTAGCTGGGATTACAGGTGTACACAGCCACATCAACTAGAAACTTTTTTTGTTTGATTATTATGTGTTATATAGCATTTGGTACTGCACCCATAATATTTCTCATATTTTTAAAGAGGAAAACATTTAGTTCAAGGGAATGAAACAACTGGTCCAAGGCCACATAGCTAACAAGCAAGGGATCTGAAGATAAAACCTGTCTGAGTCTTAAATTCTGACCTCTTTTCACTAACCTAGTCATGTCTCCTTCTTATTCTCTAAAACTACCTGGTTTATCTCTACCTTCTATATTTGCTCATGCTCCCCTAATCAGACACTCTCTTTCTTGCCTATATTTTAAACTATTTTAAAATGTTTAATTCAAAAGCCATCTCCTTCCCAAGGTCTATTTCAATTGCTTTAGTTTATATTCAACTTCTTATTTAAAATTAAAACTAGTAGCTGGGCATGGTGACCCATGCCTATAATTCTAGTGACTTGGAAGTCTGAGATGGAGAAGATGGTAGTTTGAGGCCAACCTGAGAAAAAAGTTAACAAGAGCCCATCTCAATAGAAAAAGCTGGTATGGTGGCATGTGTCTGTCATTCCAGTTATGATGGGAAGTCAAAAATTGGAGGATTTTGGTTTAGGCCAGTCCAGGCAGAAAGCAATACCCTGCCTCAAAAATAAACCAGGGCTGGAGGCATGGCTCAAGCCCCAGTACTCAGTAAGTAAGTAAGTAAGCAAGCAAGTAAATGAATAAAAAATAAACAATAAAACTAGCGTGGTAGCCTGTAACTGTTATCTAATTTTTAACTGTGTATCCGTTTTAACTTGATCGGAGACAAACTCTAAAGAGACAGAATTGTCTCTCAACAACTTAGCACTGTTAAATATCCACAAAAAAGCACAGTAAATATGTTTGAGTTTTCTCAAGCAGAATTCAGTCAATAGTTTCAAAGTCTATTATAATTCTTGAATATAATAATATTATAGCAAATTTTCCATGTTTATAAATGTATTAACTCTCACTGATGCTCCTTCCCCAATATCTACTTAATATTACAAGTTTTCGATTTTATTTTATTTTTCATGGTATATCTGAAGACATGGAACCGTTCATGAATTTATTGTCAGTCTTGTGGATGGGCCATGTTTTCCTTCTCAACCATTATAATATCAGTGCATATGCTGTTGAAGCAAACACATAACTTAATTTTCAATTTAAAAACAAATTTTTGTATGAAGAAACTTTTTAATCATGAAAAATTCAAAAATACAAACAGAGCATCATAATGTATCTCCAAGGGCCCAACCCAACTTAAACCACTGTCAACATTTTATCATTCCCATTTCATCTATACTTTCCTCCATTCAATTTCCCTTTAATCCTTTTTTGTGCCTTTTGTCATTTCATTAACTGCTCTTAAAAAATCTTTTTGTTTCGACATAATTATGGGTTCACAGGAAGCTACAAAAACAGTACAAGAGTACCATTTAGTCTTAGTTGAGATTTTTCCCAGTGGTGATTTTTTTTTCAGTGGTGGGTACTGAACCCAGGGCCTTGTTATGCAAGGCAGGCACTCTACCACTGTGCTACATCCCAGCCCAATGGTGACATCTTATACAGCTGTTGTACAATATCAGGAAAGTGACATTGGTACATCACAGTGAATTAAACTATGGATTTTTTTCACCATTTATAAAACTTGTACTCACTTGTATGTTTTATGTAATATTCTATGCAATTAAATTCTGCATATAGATTAATTACCACTACTAAGGTACCGAACTGTTCCATCATCACAACATAACTGGTGTGCTAATATTAACTCTGTATTTGTATGGATCCCCTTCTATGTCCCTGTCCCCTGTAATAATTATCTGTTTCACAACTCTATAGCTTTGTAATTTTGAAAATGTTATACAACCGGAATCATACAGTATATAATCTTTTGAGCTTGACTTTTTTTTCAAGTATAATGTCCGAGGTCCACTGAGGCTGTTGCGTATATGAATAATTCATTCCTTTATCTTACTGAGTAGTGGCATTGTATAGATGTGCCAGATTTTCTGTTTAGCTATTGACCTATGGAAGGACACTAGGCTATTTCTACTTTTTTGCTGTTACAAATAAAGCTGTTAGGAATATTTTTTTAAGAGATTTTGTATAAGCATAACATTCACTTCTCTGGGATAAATGCCCAAAAGTGCAATTGTCAGGTGATATGGTAAATGCACATTTAGTTTTGTAAGAAACTGTCAAACTATCTTTCTGAGCAGGTATACCACTTTTCATTCCCATCAACAATGTAGGAGAGATCCATTTTCTCTACCTTCTAGCCAGCACTTGGTATTATCACTTGCTTTTTATTTTAGTGGTTAAAACAGATGTGGTGATACCTCACTGTGATTCTAATTTGGTGAATATATATTCACAAATTTCGCTCTTTTCTAACTGAATCTTTGTGTTACAGACTTGGTTTGAAAGTTTGTGGTTTGCAAATATTTAGTTTTTGGGGTTTTTTTTGTCCTACGGTTTGAACCCAGGGACTCATTAATGTTAAGCAAGTACTCTACCACTTTCCTCATGCCCTAGCTGTGATTTGCAAGTATTTTCCCCTAGTCTGTTTCCATCCTTTTAAAAGTTTTTAATTTTGATGAGGTGTAATTTATTATTAATTTTAGGGATTATGCTTTTGATTATCTAGTAACTTTGCCTAACTCTAGAACCTGAAGGTGTTCTGTTTTCTTCTAAAAATTTCAATGCTCTGTTTTACATTTACTCAAATTTTTTTTTTTTTTTTGGATGCTGGGGATAAAATCCAGGGCCTCATGCATGCCCAACAACTGCTCTGTGTCTGCTTATTTTTTTACTGAATACTGGACATTACACAGTCTTTCATCTTCCTCAGAAGAGTGCTGATTTGAATTCTAGCAGGCAGTTAACTTGGTTGGGCTCAAGAACCTAATTCCACTACAATAGGTAGCACCAAATTTCTTCTTTCAGCTTCCTGCAGCTTTTTTTTTTTGGCCAAGCCCACTGGGATCTCCTTTGCCCACACATCGATCCAGCAGTCAGCCAAGGATTTGGGCAGAATTTGTGTGCAGTATTCGAGTCCATTCCCTTCTGTAGCTTTCTCCCTTACATATTTTTGCCTAACTTCTAGCTACTCTTCCAACTTTGAACCTTGTCCTCTGATAATGCAATCCAGTAAGCCTTAGACTTTTCTTTTTTCTTTGGGATACTGGGGATCAAATCAGGACTTTGTGCATGCCAGGCAGGCACTCTGCACTGAGCTACATCCTGAGCTGGAACTTGGACTTTTGATGCCCCATCCAGCACAGAAATTAGAGTATCTTCTGACAAAAAAAATGCACTCAAATCTGTCACTCAATGCGGCCCTCTTTCAGGATTAGACTTCTTGTCAATCTCTACTGTTCTGAGTCACTCTCCAGTGCTTTTCAATAGGTATTTTTTTAAAAATATATTTTTTTTCCTTTTTAAATTGCTATCGATGGTGTCTATTTTTGAAGTCATACTTTAGCATTTACTATATGTCAAACACCATGTAACTGCAACTTGTATACACAAAATATAAGACACTATCCCGTCCCTCAGGACGTCATTTTGTTTAGTTGATTTGACATGTATTTTTATAATATAATATTATACATATGTGAATAAATATATACAGTTATAATTATGTGTACATAAATGAAAATAGTTTTCTTACTTTTCTACAGCAGATCGTTTCTGTGACTTGCTCTTGTAATTTAATGCCATCTTAGTTTCCATTCCAGTGTATATAGCAACACCTACAAATAAAATAGTCTTTTAAACTAATCCTCCAGCATGTTTCATAGGAAATAAATGTACTCACCAGCATGAAAGTTTCTAAGAAAAAAGTATTATGTGACAGTTCTTAAAATTTTTGCTCTTCTTTAAGTCTTTTCACAGTTTCAATTTGTTTTGTTTTTTAACAGTCTTGCTTTGTAGTCCAGGCTTGAACTCACTAAGTAGCCCAGGTTGGCCTTGAACTCATGGTCCTCCTGCTTCAACCTCCCCAGAGCTAGGATTAGAGGGCACATTCCATGCTCAGCCACAGTTTTTAAAAAATTTCCAAGTCTACTTTTGGGAACCTCAGTCACTCTACCTGAGGGATGAGGATGCCACAGGAGTCCTGTTTCTGACTTATAATAGATATTGGAATGAAAGAGGTATTATTTGAGTTGCAATTGACAGAGGAAAAGGATGGAAAAGACAGATGATCATTATAGATGAAACTAAAGGTAGAAATGGAAAAGCATTTTCTGTTAAGTATGAACAATGGATTGGGATCAGAGTGTGAAAGTCCCTGAGTGCCAGAATCTGGAGTCTAGACATCATTCTATAAGCACTGGAGAAAGAACATGGACATCTGTCAGAGTAAATTAAGTAAACACAAAGAAAATGCTGTGTTAAAAAATGTATGTCTATGTGAAAGACTCTGAGGTAAGCGAGAATAACAATAATAATGGTACTAAAATCAGGGACAGAATAAATTAGGCAAGATCTGCCTTATTTAAAAAAAAAAACAAACAAAAAAACCCTATATAGACTATGGTTTGAATACTAGCTTTGCCTCTTATTACTTTTACATCTTTGGTTAAGTAATCTGAGACTCAATTTCCCCATTTTAGTTAATTAATTAAATTTTGGTGGGACTGGGATTTGAACTCAGGGCCTTGTGCTTGCAAAGGTGCTCTACCACCTGAGCCACATTTCCAGTCCATTTTGTTCTGGTTCTTTTGAAATGGGGTCTCCAGTACTATCTGCTTATACTGGCTTCAAACCACAATCCTGATCTTGGCCCCCCAAGTAGCGAGGATTATAGGTGTGAGCTATCGGTGCCTAGCAAGTTTCCCCATTTTTAAATGGGGAAAAAGAAAAGAATGAATAATATTGAAATACATCGCAGCTGTTAGGAACAAGACCTAACAAAATGCACTGAAAACTGTTCAACAATACGGGGTAACAGACAGGGTTAGACTGATTAAAATATAACATATTTACAGGTGAAATATCAAGGCAAAAACCCCACTGAGCAATGAACAGACACTTAAAAAATGAAGGACAGGAATGTAAAACAGGTCATGATAAAGGGCAGAATCCTCATGGGAGGGGAAGAGTAAATGAAAAGGGTAAAAGATGGTGAAAATGGTTGATGTATTTTCTATTTCCATATGAATATGGAATTCTGAACCCTGTTGAAATAAATCATTTTAAGAGGTAGGAGGAAGAGGAGAACAATGGTAGATGAACCAGACCAGGGTATACAGTACGCATATAGAAATGTAACAACCAACCTCCCTGGTACAACTATTATACTAATTAGAACATTAAAAAAATACCTTATATGCAGGTACTCTTACTTCTGAGCCATTCCATCAGCCCCAAAAAATACCTTATAGATTTGTGAGGTTTGTATGAAAAATTAGCATAATTCCTAACACTCAATAGATGATTAAGAAATCTTCACTCTTGTGACTAAATAGTAAGATTTAAGAAGCAATGGAGGACCAATAATCTTTTCTTAAAGATTTGTCTTGGAATTTTTATTATTATTGTTATTCCTTAAAGGCAGGGGTCATAAATGAGAAAGGGCACTGAAACTATAGAAATCTGAACGAAACAATAGGAAAGATGGTGCTGAGGCACACAACAGAAGACAGATCCATCTAAAGGCATTTGGATATAAATTTTCTTATAAGACTGAGCACAATTTGGGCCCAAATTTTAAGGTAAACAAGAATGAAAGTGTGACACTGTTAAAATACTGTGTTGTATGAGAAAGTCTAAACGCCCTGGAGGTTTACTCTGGCTTCTGTCACTAGAACATTATTAGGAATTTTTTTTTAATTGTGGAAAATATACATAATATACAATTTACCATTTAGCCATTTTTAAAGTGTACAATTCAGTGGCACTTACTATATTCATGATTTTGTGGAAACATCTTTATTATCTAACTAGAGAATACTTTGATCACCCTCAACGAAAATCCTATACCCATTAAATTATCATCCCTAGCTCCTGGGAATAACTTATTTGGTCTGTCTCTATGGATTTGCTCATTCTTGGAACCATACAATGTGTGGTCTCTTATGTCTGGATTCTTTCACTTAACATAATATTTTCAAGGTCCATCCTTGTTGTAGCATACGGTGGTACTACATTCCTTTTTATGGCTGAATAGTATTGCATTCTACATATATTCCACATTTTGTTTATACATTCATTAGCTGATAAACATCTGTACTGTTTCTACTCAGTGGCAGTTGTGAATATTTCTGCACAAGTTTTGTTTGAAAACTCCATTTTTCAGTTCTTTTGGGTATCTATCCAGGTAAGACTGCTGACTCGATAGTAATACAATGTTTAAGCTTATTGAAGAACAGCCAAACTGTCTTTCACAGAGACTGCATGTACCATAAGCAACATACAATAGTACCAATTTGTCCACAGCTTTACAAATGTTTGCTATTTTCCTTGTTTTTTTAAAATATGGATTTTTTTTTCAGTACTGGGACTTAAACTTAGGGTCTTGCATGTGCTAGGCAGGCACTCAGACATCCTGATCTTTTTTGTTTTAGTTTTTTTTTTTGGATAGACTCTTGCATTTTTACTCAAATCAGGATCCTTCTACCTATACTTCTTGTGTAGCCAAGATTATAAGCTTGTACCACCAGACCTGGCTTTAAACTATGGATTTCTGTATCAAGGGAAGCTAACACTGAGAAATAAGATGTAATACGGATATTAGGAAAAAAGAATGAGGAAGAAGACATCAAAAGTTGTGGGTAATAATAGTGGGCCAGGATACTAGGGCTTTTTCTGAAATGAGAGGAGTCAGTTGACAGCTAAAGGTTATCATCAATTTCACAATTTGCCAAGAATGGACTTAGTGTGTACTAAATTAATTTAGGGCTCTAAGGCCAGAGCACTATTTATACATCTTTTCAATACTGTAAGTACATGTTCCAATAGTACCAGGTATATAGTCAGAAGTTAGTAAGAATCTGTTGTAGAATACAATCTAGAAATAATCATAATGGAATTACAGAAGTGGCCCTTCAACATGATGCTAGATTACAATGGTTCTTATTCATGTTACTAGCAGTACCAGAATTATTTTCTTAGCACTCAGTTTTACAAATATTCACAAACACAAAATAAGAGCAAGGCTCTATTGTACTACTCAAACAGGAATTAACAACAACAAAAAACAACATTAATACATTCATTGTTAGAAAATTATCACATATAACATTTAATTAACTTGATTCATTCAAACCAAAAGGCTACAAATACTGTGCTTGTGCTTTAATAAATACTTTATATAGGCTGGGGATGTTGCTCAATGGTAGAGTGCTTGCATTAGCACGAGCTAATGTGTTTTCATCATCACAAAAGCAAACAAATACAACAAAATACACACAACAAATGAATACAACAGAAATTTCACATAAAGCACCAATATGAAAGAATAATTAAAAATTTTAAAGCAAGTACTAACCAAAAATTTCTTTTGTGTTTTTTAATCTGGCTCCACGAAGCAAGAGACTCTCTGGTCCTAGAGGCCTAAGGAAAAATAGAAAACCAAAAGCACTGAATATATTAAAACTTCAATTCAATTAACGGGCATCTTCAGTAGGATGTACTTAAGCTACAGCTACAACACTGCTTTCATATAAAACCAAAATCCCAGTTACTATAAAACCAAAGATTAAGAATTGAAGAAAGTTTAGAAGATGCAATTACATATTACAGAACATAAATTACAGTATGATCTGTATCTAAATGAGTTCTGCACAATTAAAATTATGCTGATAATAAAATGTAACACAGAAAGTATGTTAGTGTCTTTGTAGGCAAGATCGCACAGTACAACTTGGCTACTTGCATTGCACACTTCTTGCAGCACAGGTCTTCTTGCTGTTTGAATTTCTCTCCACAAAGGAGATATAAAACGACAAGGAATAACTAGAAAGGAAATTGTATTTTCTTAGTGATAGCAAAATGACTGAGTCTGTTATGGATATGTTTAAAAGCCTTTATTTTGTGGATATTCCTTCTGCTTGTCCAAAACATACATACATTTATCCAAATCAAACAGTCTGAACCATTTATAAAAATACCTGCAAACTCAAAAACTGTAAAAAAAAAAAAAAAAAATGCCAGGAACCAAGGTGGGCCAAAAGTTTAGGGCATGGTTAACAAGCATGATTTCATTACACAGTCATATTTGGAGTGCACTCCAGATATTCCAAAATCAAAGTGGAGCTACAAATTAGCTCTTTTTCACTTGGTATTGGTTCTAACAATGAACAGAAATGCTTTGTGCTCATACTGGCATACAAAATTGAGACATAATGACAGCTTCAGATTAAAAGGCAATTTATCAGCTCACTCCAGTTGTTTCAGCAAAGAACATGGTTCAATTTTTAGCCACTCTAGGAGATGAAGTAACAGAATTGCTACTTTCCTTTACCAGTCACAGTATCTTAATGTAATTCAGATGACATATCCACACATTTTTCACTATTTCACCACAGAAATAAAATCAAACCCAGTTACAGTTATTCAGCAAGGATCTTACCCATATAAAGATCTTGTTATAGCATTTATTGAGTATGAACCTATGTTGTTTATTGAAAATGTGAATCAACGCTGATACATAATATTTTGGTGGCTTATCTTGATGATTTCATTTAAAAATGCCTAACTTACTGGGCTCAGTGGCTTAAACCTATAATCCTAGCTACTTGGGAGGCCAAGATCAAGAAGACCATGGTTCAAGGACACTCTGTACAAACAGTCCATGAAACCCCATCTCAATCAATAAACACTGGGTGAGATGGCACACGCCTGCTACCCCAGCTACTCAGGAAGCATAAATAGGAGGAGCACAGTACAGGCCAGTCTAGGTAAAGGGTGTAATACCCTATAAGAAAAATACCTAAAGCAAAAAGTGTTAAGCACATGGCTCAGATAGTAGAGCTCCTGCCTAGAAAGTACAAGGCCCTGAGTTCATGCCCCAGTACCGCAAAAACAACAAAAAAACCAAGCAAACAAAAAACCCTCAACTTTCTTTTAGTGACTTATTTAATGCAGTCAGTATAAACTGAACATGTCTCCAGAAAGAGGTGGCATATCAAGTTTGATTAGAAATCCAAAGGTTGATTCCAAGATTGATTCTGTATTAAGCCCTAACATCATAAGGAACAGTATAATCTCATTCTATTAGCAAATCTTTGAACTGACCAAAGCCTTTCATTTAAATGCCAAAAGTTAACCAGAATATTGAGGGAAAACAAGCCAAAACAACCAAAGACAAACAACAGACACAAGCTTCCGAGAAAGATGCAATAAAACCATGGACTCCTAGAGGCAGAAACTAAACACATGTGCTAGTTGCAGCTGAAGTAAGTCTGAAAGTGTGAAAAGGAAGACTCCACAAAGACAGTCTTTTGTTGTTGGATTGAAAGCAACACTGTGATTGCTCTCAGAGCAGTGGCAATTTAATTCGACCGATATCATATATCATATGTATTGTTTACCCATCTGTATTTTGTGTCTTTGGGTGTGGTGAGCACTATGCAAAGCATAGTTGTTGCGGCCATTGAAATATCTCCAATTAGTGCCTCTATTTTTCTTGGCCTTGATGTGTGTTTGAATGCTGGGTATGTGGCGCTGCGTGACCACTGGAATCCTAGGTTGGTTACCACCAGGGCCTTCACCAAGGAACTTTTACAAGGTGTTTTGTCAGCTGTTTAAATGTGGTAAGGATGGCGTGCATTATATGAAGTACCTATGCCTCTCCCTATGTTGTAGATGCTCTCACTAGACCATAGAGGCCTAACATATTATTATAGAGCACCAAAGAATATGCTGAACACAGTCATTACTCAAGTTGATGTATCTGAGTTAGATCCTCCATCCTCTAGCTCGTGTGGCACAGTCAAATCGGTGCGTTTTAACGGCGTCTACGTTGTGGCATGTCTACAGGAAGCGTGTAGTAGTTCACCATATAGCATAAGCAGTAGATCAGTGAAGTGCTAGAACACATGTGACTTACGGGAAAACGAGATCTCCTGGTGTAATACTTAAGTTTACTGTTGTCAGGTGAGGAAAGTACAATGGACAATGGTAACCGGATTTTACAATAAGTACTCTCTTTTTATTTAAGTTTGAGATAGTTGCTCAACCGTTGCTGTATCGATTTGAGGCTGAGCGGTATGTTATCTATTCCGCGCCCGCGCGTGTCCGATATGGCGAACCAAATCATATTTTTCCATACACCGATCAATCTATATCAGTTCTAAATAGAATTGTCGTAGCCTTATCACCAAATATGAGCACCGATATCATGCGCTCCGAGGGTCATTTGTTATACCCAGTTATCCCCCACATTGATACCTCCCCTCTCTCATGGGTTAAAACCATCTACCTCCGAAGACAACGCCAAGAATACCTGTTCTAGCCCTCTTCTGCTCCGGATTTTATGATAGAAATAAAGCAAAAACTGGACCATTTTTGTTGGTGCCTCTAGTTAGCCCCTAGCACAGTTGGAAGTTTCCTTGAAAAAATTTCCATGCCCTCTACATGTATAAGTAAACGTCTGTAATAGGTTCATCCACCTCTGCATTCTTTCTTCTTTTCTTACTTATTAGCTCTCCTTTGGTTGTATATGAACACGGTCTTAAAAATTCCTAACATCACTTGTTTACTAGGAGAGTACCCATCAACCAATATTCACCTTACACTTTCCTTCTATTTGCCATCCTCTCCTTCTCATAAGTAACCTCCCTTAGTGTGCTGTTTTGCCCCACATATTGGCTTTATATTGCTAAATGCTTTTTAATCCTTTCCCTCTTTATTAAATTTACTCTATTCACTTACTCTCTTTACCTTTCTCATAGTTACCTCTGTCTAATTTTTAGTTCTCACTACTATCAGAGATAACATGAATTTGATTCTTTACCTTACAAATTATCCTTCCCATTTGGATTGACTTATATCATTCGTCCACTGAATCTGCGAAAAAGATTCCCACTTACGAAATGTTTTTTATTATACTCTATGAAATCATGGATATACAATCATGTTAATAGAGCTTTTTAGCACTAGTCACACCACCATGACGAAATAAGATCAACCTCTTATATGTACGAATGGTCCAGTATTCATGTTAGAAATTACAAAAAATATA